AACCCCAGGACGTGTAAGGCCTAAGATGTCGATGAAGACTAGGAAGGGGTCACTGCCCATCGTGTTGTCTGCAACCCACCATGAGAGTGAGATCTCCGGTGAGTGGGCTGTGATGTCAATGGCACTGAAAGTGCCGGGAGGCCAAAAGAAAGTCGGGGAACCGTCGTCGGCCACAACAAGGTTGTGTTCCGCAAACTGATCTGCCAGCTAGCCATCCTGCCCCTTGCGTCTTCTCTGCTGTCACCCCATTGATCATGATGAGCGTTCCAGTCCCCACAGATCAAGAGCGGATCGGTAAGCCGGGTGCGCAGAGACTTCACTAAGCCGGCGACCTCCGCAGCGCCCCCTCCTGGGCGGACATAAACTGAGATAACAGTAAGGCGCCGCCCGGCGATCTCAGCGCACACCGCAACAAGGTCCCGGTTGACTGTGCAGAAGTCTGAGACATCCACCGTGTGGTGATGAATAGTTTTTTTGGATATAAAGCGCAGCGCTGCCGTTTGGAAAGCTTGGTATGGAAGGGCTTTTATAGGCGAAGTAACCAGGGATGCTGCGATTTTCTGGGAGACCAGCCTCACAAAGAGCTAGGATGGGAATCTTCCATTGTTGTAGATAGAGGGTCAACTCTGGCAATCTGGTCAGCATTCCCGCACAGTTCCACTCTAGAACCACGGGGGTCTGTCGACGCCCTCTGGGAGGGGACCGATGCGCCGAGGGAGGCATCAGCGGGGATACCTCTGCCATACGAGATTTAGACTAGCGCCCCTACAATGCCCTCGAGCGGTAGGGCGGCTTCGAGGAACTTTCGGAACGAGGATGCTGGTGGCAGGATGCGGATTAGCTCGCGCACGGTGGCGAAAATCATGGTTACAGTGGACTTGAAAGGGTGCGACGAGACGGGAGTGGCGGCTTCCATGTGGCCTGCAGATGGCGATACACCTGCACGTTGCTGAGAGGCTTGGGTTACACGGCCATTCGATGACTTCGAGCTTTTGACAGATTCTGCCCAGGTCTGTTTTACCGTGGTGCCGGAGGCTGAGTGGCTGGTACCGGGAGTGGCGTCGGTTCCTTGGCAGGTAAGGGTGACACCACCTGTGCATGAGTGTCGATCGGGGAAGGACGCGCGTCTGGGGCTACACTCCTGTCTAAGGGGGTGCTACTCTGCACACTGCGCGACTTGCCGTCTGGCTTGGCTGACGAGGACTTACGGAGTGCTTCGCGAGGCTCCCGGAAAGTTGCGTTGTTTTCTGAGCGGTAACGCGATATGGCGACCTCTTGACGTTGGGTTGGGCAGGACGGCGACGAGGCATCATGGCTCTGACGACAGTTGATGCACTTTGGCTCGGAGGATTCGCACATGCCGTCGTGTGAGCCGCCGCATCGTGCGCATGCCTGGGGGCGATTGCAGACGGCGGCTATATGGCCGTAATGGAAGCACCGGCGACACTGCAGGGCTTTTACCTTGAAAGGCAAGACCGGAGTTCAAACTAGCCCGTAGAAAAGAGAGTCAGGCCGCGCCTTTCCCAGGAAGACTATCTTCACAAGTTTAGACTTTTCGTCCCACGTCCCAGATCTCGACCGTCGTCCATATCGTCCATATCGGAGTTGTCATCCTTGAAGGTAGAGTCGTCCTCCGAAGATTCGGCTACCTCGTGGGCTTGTCGGCGAGGGGGAAGGGTCCCCGACGGCGCACGCTCGGGCTCCAGATGGTAGATGGGCCTGTCAACTTGGGATGAAGGTTGGCCGGCAGACATCCCGTCCTCGGCAAGGGGGCTGGGAATGGCTCTGCACGAGCCTCCCGCGGCGCTTGTTTGCGGTAGATCAGGCGTGGTTGGGCTTCGCCCCGAAGGCTCCAGAACAAAGGCTGAAGATCGACGCTTGTAACGGCGAGGTTTTCGGCGCTAGGTGCGACAGCAGGAATAACCCAAAGCGCTCCGACACGACAGTGGACGCAGCTCAGTAGCAGCCATCCACTTCGGGCGCCGAATCGAAAAACCAATCTGTCCCAGTGAAGATCTGTCTGATGTGCGCAGCAGTTTCTTATCGGAGGTGTTGCTGCTATTCCGATAGGCACACCGTCCGTAGGTTCTTCACTCCACGGTTTAATCACTTCCTAGGTGCGTCTATAGTTTGCGCAGCATGTACCGCGAAAGTCACACGCTCCATTGTTCGCATTTCGATGTATCTTGATAGTAAGCACATATCTTTCGTGCAATATGACACCATAATTGAAAGAGCGGCGACAGCGTTTCAACCGTTAGAGTGAACCGCTACAGTAAACCCGGCGGAGCCGATCGAATGCTGCGTGAATGTCACCTGACTCTCGGAAGGGGAGCATTGCCGCGCGGGGTGCACGGTCGCGTGACACCTTCGCAGGGTTTGGATTGGCTGGGATGGCTCGTGTAATATCGACTGCTGTCCATCGCAGAAATGACGTTTCTGAAACGCGTTCCTTTTTATTTATTTATTTTTTTTGAGGGGGAGGGAGGGGGAGGGGAGAAACGCCGCCATGCCATTATGCGTCGATGGAACTGGAACAGGAAATCGTTACGTTTTCGAGGACACGGCAAAAAGATCGGCGTTTTTTTTTTGTTTTTTTTTTTTAATATTAATTAAATTGAGTGGTCATTTGTGCTTCTTTTTTTTTTTTTTTTTCACTAACGACTGTTTCAATTTCCGACTTTGAGGGATGGAGGATTCGAGAGGTAGTAAAAAAACAAAGAACTGCGACAAATGTGATTGTAACGACTCGACACGTAGTTCGATGCTAATATTACAAGTTGCTCGCTTTATTCTATTCACCAATTATCCGGCAAAGTATTTCATTAAAATACGGAAATGTAACATTAAAGAATACTAGCCGTTCGAATCTTACAAAATGTGGCGGGAACGGTTTCCTTTTGAGCAACTGGAGGAACAGTTGTGACGGGGACTCGTTCCAAGGTTGAGAAGGGAACGAGAAAACGAGCTCTCGTTCCTGTTTTGGAGGAAGGCGTAGAACGCCGGCGGCATACTGTCGCGTGCGTTGTCGTTCCCCTGGCACGAGTCTCGGCCGCTGTTCGACAGATAAGCCACCAGCTGTCTCGCGCTCTACCAGTCCATACCCTGCCTCGGCGAGCCGCAATCGTAGCCCGTCCCATTTCTCGAGGCACGACACACGGAGCCCTCGGACGGAGCTCCCTCCCCAAGGACGCAAGGGCGGCGTGTGTACGTGCACGCCGGTTGACCGCGGGGCAGTCCATGACGTGATCGGACGGGGCGGCGGCAAACGAGCGACCGCCGCTGATCACGCAGGGCGCCATTTCTTCCTCCCCTCGCTCCGTTCTCGCCCTTTCGCCGAAGCCGCGAGAGGGCCGGCGTTGGCTGACGACATCGGAGCAACGGCACACGTGTGCCAAGGGGCCTGCGAATGCGCGCCAGAAAGGCCAGAAGGGTCAGAACGAAGCGCAGCGTCGCCTCTGGACGGCGGCCGCCGACGCTACTCCTGGATGCCGGCAATGGTCCGAAGAGGACGAGGACTCTTCTGCATGTCAAGAAATCAGCGACGCGCGACCACCGGGAAACGACGTTCGTCTTCGTTTCTTTTCCATAGCATCGGTTGGCGCAAAGTACACACATCGACGCTACACACCCTTCCCCACGTAAAGTTGTCGCACCACGTAAAGTTTTTAGGACGCGACATCCCGTTTGCACGACAATGCGTGCAGATGAAACCCTCGATGTAGCTGTCCACGCGCTCGCACCACTCTGAAATGGCGGAGAAGGCCTGGGGAAGGCAATACTGACCAGGAAAGTTCCCGAAATCGGTTTATTAAATAGAAACTGGGGTGAATACAGACCTAATTGAGTGCCGATAGATTTTAATTTTTTGTTTATTTATTTGAGAAAGTTTAAATATGGCCACAAGAGTGGCTAACCTGATTTTGATGTCAAGGCCAAGCGTAGCGAGGAATTCCTATTTTTTCTTAGCCTTTCCGGCTGCGCCACTGGTTGGAGCCACCATTCATATACACCTTTTATCGTGACGCAAGGAGGGACTTGGAAAGTAGTCGTAGGTATAGTCGGTCACAGGTTGAGATTGAAGTGGAAGCTCCCCCCACCTCTTTCCACATTAGCAGAGCGAACACTAGAGAGGAGGCGACCTCCCCTCCTCCCCTCCAGCGTTCTCTCTTTTAAATCGGAAAGAGGTGGGTGGAGCTTTTCCCCCGAACTCTTCACTTCCACTTCCCGTATTTTCCGGACTATGCATGCGTAAAAGTTGAAAATTCACCCGATGCTGACTATCTACAGGGCTGGACTGTGCAATGATTTGTTGTTGTTCTTCTTTTTTTAGATCCTTCACTCTGACAAGTCGTGAAGTATCTTATGAGTAACGGACTATAATCATGTTTATTTGTGTACGAAAAAGCTTCTTTGCGAGCTTATACAGTAGGCATTTGTTAGGTGTGTCGTTTATGGTACGTTTTACGTTCGGACGAGGCACTAAGTGCGGACTATGCACGGGGTGCGGATTATGTACCGGGTGTGGACTATCTACTTTTATTCTTGGCTCCGAATTCGCCCCTGCGGACTATGCACCGGGTGCGGACTGTAGTCCAGAAAACACGGTACTGTAGTATATGTGCATACTTTCACTGCCGTTACCGGAGGCATCCCCAGGGATGCCTCCGGTAACGGCATCCCCAGGGAAATGTTTTCTTCCGATCATTCCCAGATAAAGAGGAATCTCTAAAAGGAGAAAATACACTGTGCAAACTGCAAATAAAAAAAAAAAGACGTCACTTTTTTTCTTTTTTCACCGACCGCCATAGTGTTGGCTGTGGCAACACGCTGTGGAGGGCCTTGGATGGAAAGGGCAGCAACAGGAGAGCGAGAAACGTGCGGCCTCCTCTGAAGCTGCCTGGCACTTTACTTTCCCTCCCCCGTGTTGTGACGGACCGCGCCGCGCGAACGCAGCAGCAGCCGCTTTTGCCGGCGCGAGAGGCGACGCTCGAGCGAAACCGGCGACAGAGCCACTACACTCGGCAGCGTGACGTGCTCCGAGCACGGTTCCCTTGACTCGAGCTGCTTACGGCCGCTAACGGATCATCGCAGAGATCGGCGTGTACCCGAGTGCGGACGCCTCGGCTGCCGTATACGGTCTCTCGGAATCGTCGTCGACGTGACTTCCAGGTGCGTTAGCGGCCATTCTCGTTGCTCCGGTTTTCCCGCAAGGTCGCCAATTGTCGAACTGTGTGAACCGTCGTGCGACGATGGATGGCTTGTGGTGTCGTCGACCAACGGCGTCCTGCAACACCCTGGAGCGCCGGAGTTCGCGGTAGCCGAGGCTTCTGTCTCGAGTACTCCGAGTCACCAAGCGCCTTCTTCGTTCTGCCCAGTGGAGGAGCTCTCTAGGACTTGTCTCCACGCCGTGATTTTGATTCGACGTTCTAACGATATTGGTGAAGGGTGGCCGCCGAAATGCCGGCTAAGTTTTCCGCTGGCGAATGGCTGATCGTTCTTGGGAATTCGTCGCCTTCTGGGCAACTCTTGCGTGCGGGTTACGGCTCTGAGCCTTTAACGCTCGGCGTTACGTTCGTGTTTTACCAGCCTGCGTGTACTCGCCAGGCGTCACCAAAGATGAACTCGTGTTATGTTCAGTGAGCTCTTCGTCCGCGTTGCTGCTGTAAAACTGGAAATATTCTAAAGGCTCACAGTTTCTGTGAAGCCACGGTGTACCCACTAATTCCTGGCATACCGCATGCCTTACTTCTTTCTGAGTTCACAGTCAACAAGGTTCTCAACATTCGGTATAGTCCGCGAAACACGTTGTCCGCCTCATCCTCTCAACTTTGTGGATACGGTGATCCTTCCCGATGGTTTTCTGTCCTTCTCCGAAATAGTCCCTGTGGAAACGGCTAAAAACGCAGTGCCCTGATTCCGTCGCCATTACCTCCCACGTCACCGCTTGTCTCAGCCGTACGCGGAAGTCCGGCGTTCGAACCACGTACGCCGTCATCTGTTGGAACTCGCACTGAACTTGTCTCTGGGAGGTTGCTGAGTTGACCAGGAAGTCTGACATTCTACCAACGTGCACCTTGCCCTGTGGGAACTCGCGCCGAACCTGTCCACCCCCCCCCCCCCCCCCCCGTGCCCTTCCTGCGAATTTGGACGTCGTCTCTGTGGCGCGCACCAGCAGTTGACAACGGGCTCCACCATGTCCCTCTGGAAGGACTACAGGACGAGGATGGCTACCCGAACGGGGGAGCGGTCGCTGAGCGGGTACGAGATGTACCGGCTCAGTCTGCTTAAGCACCTCGGCGAAACGGAATACGCTGACGCGTCGAGCGACGACCTCAGCTCTGACTGGGACGAACCCGAGGAGATGAGGAACAAGGCCAAGAAGATTCCGGTGAGTCTAGCTGCAGCGCCAACCCCTATTCCGCTGGTCGTGGTCTCGTGCAAGCGTGGCGGCTCCGAGCACCGGTCCACTCATTGCGGAGATTACTTGAGCTACCTTGTAGTTGGTTTGTTACGTTCCTCCCACGAAGTTACCAAGGGGGTAATTTGAAAACTTCTCGAGAGAATGAGGTTCTTGTAATAGTTACTTCCGAGTTTCAACTTGAACGGTCTGCGTGTGAGCTGGGGCGTGGGTTTCTATTTTTTTTTCTCTTAAATTGTAGTCACTGACAAGTTGAAAACGGCAGGTAGGTCCTTCAGTTTCTTCGTCTCCAAAGTGAGCTTACTACTCTGGATAACGCTTCGGCACTTCGTAGGCGTCGGGCATATAGACGCTCAGCCAATGCAAGGCGGAATGCAGCGAGCGCGTATACTGGAGTGAATGACTTTGCATTAATCGCATTATTATCGTATACTGGAGGCCGGTTATTCAAAACTTGGGACGCCCTGACGTTCTGATTCTGCCAGTGTGTATAATTCCTTCAACTTTACATTAATAAGCCTCTCCTCAGCTACCAAAATTAAGCGAACAAGCTTTGTTGTACCGCACGTGAACTTTCTTAAACATAGTAAACCCCCCCCCCCAAAAAAAAAAAAAAAAAGAAACAGGAAGACGAACCTCTACGTGCCAAAGCGGCTGAAAAAAATAATGGCACAGAATACTATTAACTGCACCCGATCACTTTTATTCCGCAACGTGTGTGGGCAACCTGGTTGCACAATGCGTTCGACCAGGCATTCCCGCATCTTAGATGGTTGTGGCCTCCTCCACCGCGGGGTGGCCAAGTGGAATCTGCCGCACAAGTGGGACACCTCCGTGGTCAAATGGCCGGCGCACAACTATATATGCGCGGGAGATATTTTGGTCGCAGCGCGGAGCTATGACGGTCAGTAGATGACTACGTGTTGTTGAACTGGTACGTGCTGTGACTTACCAAGGCGGGTGGCAGCGAGGGAAATGCAACGCATATCCTGAATAATGGTTACATCTTCTTTCGATGACTCTTCCGGCGGTCACCTCGTTTCTGTGGGGGGAAGCTTCCGTTGCAGACTTTACACGTCTTCAGGAGTGCATGTGTAGAAACCTATTCTTTTGTAATCCACTTTTTTATTATTTTTATTCTGCGAGCGTTCGATCGTACGCGACATACGTATGTTCTATTAGAGGAACCGGTTGTCGCATTTCTGTAAGGCGTCTGCGAGAGTTTACTCATAAATTACGCTCTCCAGATTAAAGTGCCACGCCCAGAAACTTTTGACGATAGGCCCTTTTCAAAATTCAGTACCATCTGGTGGCTCCAAAGACCGTTTCACTTTCGACAAGCAAACGGTGGTCATGAAACTGTATTTGGTCGGGCACCAATACTTTTTCACGTCAATGGCAGATGAGAATTGGTTCTTCGATCACCTCATAATTCTTTCTCCATTGGTTTCTGTTTCGTGGGTGTAAACATATATAACTGAACAGTACAAAAGAGCGACTCATAACTTAAGCCACACTACTCAATTTCTGCCATCAAGAGGCTTTATAATTTTTGAAACAAACTTGTGCCAAGAGATTGATTGTACCACACTCCGAAATAAACGCTTCCGCGGCCTCCTTATCAGCTCAAGCAGGCCGCCTTTAGTTTGCACCATCGATCTCTATGACTATTTGCTGGATCGCGTTGGCCCGCTCCACGAAAGCGGCCAAGGTCGGCCATCTTTTTGGTAGAGTTATATTATCTCTAGCCACACCATAGTAGTATGGTGGCGCAGTCTACCTCCCGTTAGATAGGGTACACGTTTTCCACCTACTGCTGAAAGGTAGCAGGGCGACTTCGTGGAAACCTTGGAAACTCATAAATATCTTTCACCGAGCGTGTCCCTGCGCGCCTGGATAGTCCCAAAACATTGCATGCTTACCGATGGTAAGTTCTTGTCGTTTCGCGATCGGGGCGATTTGAACAGCGCGCCGCGCAAAGTGACGGCATAGTCGACCTTCCTCTGTCGAATCCACTGAGTTTCAAGAGTGCTTGGTCGAGCGACTTCAACCAAGCACAAAATATCACCCACGGTACAGTGTACTAGACCCATGGCTACCTCTATGGCAGCCTGCCGCCACAGGGATGTCCGCCATATTACTAAGATGGCTAGAGATATAATATATACTCTACCAAATATGATGGCCGACCGTGGCCACACTTCTGTGCTCAGGCGGAACTGGGCAAACGCGATCCAGCAAATAGGTTTGCGCAGATTGCACACACTGAGATGACGGTAGTCATACGAAGTGGCCAGACTAAACTTTGAAAAGGGTCTGCATAGAGTTTGAACGAACGGCTGGCTTTTCCATGGTCTTGATCTTCGGGGAAATGGCTCACGCCGAACGCTCACCACCTGCTCGCACATACTCGAGACACGTTTAATTGCACGTGCTATAGAAACTGGCAGGATGAGAACGACAGGGCGTCTCCCCGAGATGCCCATGCCTCCAGCACGCGTTCTCGTTGCCTTCTCCCATGCTTCGGCTGCGTGTGCACGCTCGGAGATCACGAGACGCCGAAGCGTTATGCTAGCCGGTCTAGCTCTGCCGTTCTAACCCTACCAATCACCCGACTCTACGAAATTTGGAGCGTCTACTTTGCCGCCAAACCCTCGGAAGAGCTAAAAAAAAAAAAAAAAAAACGGTCTGCGCATGACACTGAACACGAAGGTTCACATTGATCAGTGTCATAGCACAAACTATTTGTTTTAGGTGTAAACAGGTGTGCGAATACCTGTTCACGTAGCACTCCGTTATTCATATATCCTTCACATTAAAAAAAAAAAAATTACGATCCTGAAGGCAGGAGTGACGCCGCGCACAAAAATTCGAACTGGTATTCGCACGAAATATATTTTCCCTCACGTCCATCGCCGAGCTGCCTCCGTAGAGAGCAGCGATTGGCACGCCCCAAGAGCTTTGCAACTTAAGAAAAAAAGAGAGTGTAGCCATTACATCTCTTATTACATATACCACACCCCAAAACTTCAATTCGACGTATACAGCGCACTGATGTCGAACGGACGGCTCCAACTTTAACGAGAGGCTTGATGACGGTGCGATATATAACATATGAAACAGCTAAAGTACATATCAAAGACATCAGAAGAAAAAAAAGGAGGTTTTGCAGTAGGGCCAAGAAAACTCCGATTACTTTTTTTTTTGCAGTCAGTCGCACGTACATTAGATGTTTGAATAAGTTGTACAACTTGGCTATCAAGCCGCTCGTGAAAGTTGGTACCGTCGGTTCAATGTCAGTGCGTTGTACGTCCAACTGAAGTTTTGCGGTGTCTTTCATGTGACAAGGGGTGTAAGAATATAGCCCTTTTGTGCGTGTGTGTGTAACGGTCCCCTCGTAGGGAAGTTCAAACTTCTGATCTGCCAAGAAATACTTCCGAATCGAGAGACATTTTCCAACTTTCTCTCCGATGAGGTACGTTCGTGCAAAACGCGTACATAGAGAAAAAAAAAAGAGAGGGAGAGAGAGAGAAAAAGTCGTTAAAAAGTTTAATCGGGGCGCGTTGTGCTGCGGGCGGACGCTTTACAAGCCCACGCCACGCGACACATGAGTCAGCTCCATATTCTCGTGGTGTCGCATAACACGGCGACTGCTGGGGGCGAGAAATAGGGCGTCGTGATTAATCGAAGCCGCCGTATTGTTCTCCAGCTGCTCACAATGCATCCGCTTCCTCGACGGTGACGTGCGTGGGTTTCCAACCGCCGCGCCCCCCAGTGGCTAAACTGAGAACTGCACCGATGGGGACGACAACAAAAGCATGGATTGTTTGTTCGCGTTTTGACGCCGTGCTTGGCCCAGGTAGCCGAACGTTTTGCCATCGTTCGGCTGACGCTCTCGTTCAATCGGTGAAGCCAAACGCACACGGAGCACTCGTAGATTTTTTGCATCATATTTTTCAACTAAGCGCGGGGAAAAAAAAAGAACTTGGCACGAGTTGTGCCCAATCTTTGCCCGCGCGCGATCGAGAAAGATGAAGTAAAGAATCCAGCGCTCATGCCTTGTGTCGGTAAGCGCAGAACTATGAGGAAAACAAGCTGGACATAGCGCCCCGCACAGTTCGACCTCCTCGCCATCCGCGGCGTGACACTCTGCCGCGGAAGCGGATTCGTAATCGCGACACTTATTCATGCTCTGCGTGCGCAGGACAAAACGCCAGCCATGTGGTAACAGTTATGACGATGAATCACAATCGTGGTATGCGCCGGCGCTCGCAATTGTCCGACGTTCGATCTGTCGTTAAACTTGAAAGTAAAAGTAGCTGCGTTGGCGTGTGTCACACAGCAGGACGTTAGTCTGTAGATGAAAACATTTAAATCTAGTACAGCACCACAGCTCTAGTGTGGGGTCTCTAACGTGCACCATGTAGTACAACCAACGTAACGTAGCATATTAAAAAAAACAATGCATGTTTGGTCATTCGGTTAAACTCATTTTAGATGCGGTAGCTTTGTAGAGTGGCTGGTGCTCTTAGTTCGGATGGTGCCTAGGACAGGGCTTTGTATGGAAACATACTACCTCACACTACTGTCTCTTTGTGACACTGCGCGCGCTTCCTTTCGGCACCACCCTTGTACAAAGCCTTTGCGCTGAATTTTGAAGTCACCAAAAGAGAAATGAGCGCGCTTTCCTGCCCTTTCCACTCCTGGTTCCGCGCGCTCTTTCTACACCACCTGTTGCTGCTCTTGTCTTTCTTGCCCTTTCCAGCCCTCTCCCTCCGTGCTCTTTCTTACACCACTTGCTTCTGCTCCTCCCGTTCCTGCGTGCCGGGTCTGTAGCTCACTCGGCAGCGGCGCACTCGGCTTCCACGCCGGTGACAGGGTCTGGTCCCTGGCACCGGTTGCAGTCTGTTTTTAAGGTTGTTTGGCGGTCACGGAATGACCGACCTACACATTTTGTGCTTACGCGCGGC